ATTAAAATCAATTAGTGTTTGTCTTTCACAGTAATTTGACATTACTGTTTAGATTTGTTACTGTTTGTCACTACCTACAACATGCAACTGTTGTTTGAGCATTTAGTTTTGAAAAAAAGTTATACATTTCCTTTAATTATTTTTTCTGAACTTCATCCAGCTTCACCTGCTTTTCTTTGGCTGCTTTCCTAAAATCATTCAATGTGATCCAGTCTGTTTTCAGCCTTTTCTAGCTTGTTTTTCCACTTTGAGCATATTTTGCTCCAATATGCTCCCTTCTTTGAGCTGTTTGGTGCTTGCAAGGTACTGGTGACAAGCTTCTTCCACACCAATTAGAGTTATGTACAATTTGTTTAGGGCTCAACCATCTAATTTTCCTGACCAATGTATACTTGAGGGGGCATTTCTCCACTAATTTTGGCATTACTGCTTGAAGAAGCTTTTTTTGTGTCCAACTGAACAGAGAACACATCTTCTTCACAGAAACTTTCTTGTTTGTTTTTAACTCTTTCAGAAGCAGGTCAGCCATAAACCCCATATTCACCTTTGATCCATCCTTGTGAATTTAACCGTCATTAAGGTCTATTGTGACTAGCTTTTCAGCAGATATCACTTGGTGCATCTTGGTGAACCTGCTAATTAGATCTGAGAGCACACTAAATAGGTTATCACCAAGAAAACACTAACACCAGCCTGTTAGTTTGATATTTTTCCAGAAGAGGTAGAAAATCTTTGGCAATGGAGAGAAATATGTCGGCATTTGTGATGAACTATGGGTCTCTACAGCTTTCTTCAGCAACACTGTATGTTTGCATTTTGGCCCAAGAACTGTTTTGACATTCACACTTGCAACGTACTTCTTAACATGTGGCCAAATTTCAATTATTCTCTTTGTAACCGGCACAATTTCAAGCCAGCAATGTTGACAGTATTGCTGACAGTATTGACCAAATCAAAAGCCATAAGAGACAGCTCAAAGTTTGATCAACTCCCCAGCTGTTTTTCACATTTCATGTTTTAAATGCTTTTATATTTAGGGTTTTTGAGCCATAGGCTATAAGCTAGAAAACACACAGTGACCCATTTTCAATGAAACTGCAAGGTTTACTACCCCTTACTGGGCTGAAGGCAATGAGAACAAACGGAATGAAATATCAGGTTTTTTCCCTACAATTTTCCCATCAATTTACCACTTTATTCTGTTATGGTGCAAGGACACAAGCCCCTTTTGCTTTTGATATTGTAGGCAAGAATGGTGTACAGTGTTAAAAATATATAAATGCAAACAAGTTGATGAATTGGAGAAAACAATTAGAGCAAACAAATCTTACTTTGTATTGCTGAACACATTTTTCACACGTAATAACAGCCCGAGAAGCATGACATTGTTTTTGTAAACAATTTTAGAATTCTGTGCAAAAATTCAAGAATTTGCTTCATCATAAAGGCTTTTATCACAATCTAAGATATAGCTAGTCATCATATAAAAGGCTTTTTCCATTATAGCTAGACTACGTCTTCTATAGCTAGGTAAACCTGTATTTTACAGTGTCATCAAACCAAGATACTTTTCACAAAATTATTTCTATTACAAGTTTCTTAATTTGCTTATGTTTGGTTAGATTATTTTCTCAGTGACACATATGTGAAACAAGAATGTGCAAATTAGCTCAATAATTTTGTCCAATAAATTAATAATTAGGAATAATTAGGTATTCCTACTTTTTCAGCACTTTCACAAAATCTGACTAATTTGAGTACTCAGCTCAACCAGCAGGACTGAATTTTGTAAATATAGCTATTGTTTGCGCAATTTGTGTCACAGATCTGTCATTGTTATAGTAAATCTTAACATTATTGCAAGTTATAAATGCAATGAACCATCAAATTTTGAGAAAAGAGTTAGTTGTGAAGACTTATTTTTCTTAAGTGCAATGCATTTATTAGCTTGCTAAACAGAAAACAGGGCTAGGCGGAACTGTTACATCATCATGAGAACATTTTGTTGCTAACATTCTAATGCCATACAGTATTAGAGATGATGTGTTGCAAAGACCAGTCAACCATGATCACATATGTGTGACTGTACGCATCAAAAGGTTAATTAATATTTTAAATATTAAATACCGCATTAACCCAATCTGAATGAAATCACAAATAGCAAATTAACTTCACTTCCTTATGTTATCATAAGACGGGTAGATTTTAGTTTGATTGGCTGTGCTTCTTTCAAACACCCAGCCAATTTTTCAGGAAGCCAATTTAGAAAACACACAGGAAGGTAGATTGTGTGCATTCTTAATACAAATATATTTATGTTTAGTGAACTTTGTTTTATATTAAGATTCCATAAGTTTTCCAAACATGTTTCATTTTCCAAACTTTTCAAGGTCTGGAAATCATTTTAATGTCATACTTTTCCAGACTTTCCAGACCTGCGCAAGTATCCTGTATAAAATTATATTACATTATGTACCCTCCATTCACAGACTGTTAAATCAGAAGAATCTGTAACTCTATATTAGATGTGGAGTTTCAACCAGGAGGATAACAAGGAGTTCAGGATGAGCAGAATACCAAAAGGTCCAATCACTCATACTACACAGATGAGACATCGCAATACAGTGATTTTTTGTTCATAAATGTGAGGTTATGAATACGGATATAGGGACTTCAAATAAGCTACTCTCTGAAATTCATCTGCTGCTTAATTTATCATCTAGATGGAAGGAAAACACTAAATCCTAACCAGATTCCATTCCATGTGTGTTTGTACTTTTTTTATTATATAAATCCAGTTTACATGCGCTGAATGTAAAATCCTTCTTCATGTAGTTCCAAAGTTCAGAGAATACCACGCAATGAAGTACTATACATTTTGCAATCCTTGCAGCTCCTTTTTATGTTGACATGGTTATTATTTCATGTTATGTTAAAAATACATAACTATTTTTTATGTGAAGTTGAACTTTTTTGTCTTTTCACTGCCTGTCCCCCCACTCCCCAATAATATGTTAATACATTCAGCTATCCAAATTATCAGCAAAGCTAAACACCGTGCCACTGTGCTGCCTTGACTGGCTATAATTAAGCTCAGTATTAAGATTTACTTTTACAGAGGTATTCCCTTGAGGCAAAAGAAGACTTTTGATTCTGGTGTGGAATTAAACTTTCAAATGAATCTGTGCCTCTTGCGGGCAGCTTCAGGGTCTTGCGTTTCATTCCAGTCTCAGGTATGTCTCTGTATGTTATTTTGTATTGTAGAGTGATTTGTGATTTTCCTCATACTTCCCAAAGACCTGCTCATTAGGTTTGACTGGATATTCTAAATCCTTCCTTTTTTCATGGCCCTGCATTAGACAACCCAAAGGGAATGGATGCTTTCAGTCCTACTTTTACTATTACTATTTTCAATAGTAAACATTTAACAAACGTTTAAGTAAGAAACCTACACAACTTTCCCACAACACTACAGTATATCACTGCCTAAAAATAAAAAAAGAACTAGAAATTAGAAATAATAATAAAAAACTGACAAACATTGGTTAAGTTATACTGATAAGCACAGAAACAACATAAGCTTGATTGATTAAAATCTTAATTCAATGATTTAGAGGTATTCTTGCATACATTTGTTCCCTTTTTTACAATCTTCTAAAAACAACAAATGCAGCAGCATTGTATTGATTCTTTATTCTGCAACTTTTTGTTCAGTCTAAAAAAATATTTCTCTGGTAGTGTTCATTTACACGATTTTCTAAGCCACACATGTTTATATTCTGGTGTACACAAAATGTCCTGCAAAGCATA